TTTTGGGAGGTGCAACAACCAACAGCATCAGCTGAGCCCACGCAGCTCTGGAAGGTGATTCATCCCCATGAGGCAGGTGACATGTCTAACTACAGTGTCATCTCTGGCTCCCACTTGAATTCCTGCATACTTGTGGTCCCCTGTGTCTGAAACGCTTTCCCCCCTTATCCACCCTGTCGCTGAATTCAGGCCTCTGCTCAGTATCCCCTCATCAGAGAAGCTTTCCCTAACTGTTTTCCTTCTCAGCGCTCATCACCACCAGATATGTTATTTATTCATTTGCTTATTACCTGTCCCCACCCTTGACCCTGCCCCCCACTACAATACAATGAGCCCCCTGATAGCAGGGTCTTAGTTCTGTTCACTGTTATATCCCCAGCACCTAATGTTTAGCACATCGTCAATACTCAGTAAATATTTGTCAGATGAACAAAAGAATGTCCTCAGCTGATATCTGGAGATCCCCGATATGTCCTTATATACCCAGTGCCTGGCCTTTAGTTGGTCCTCAGGAAGTAAGATAGTCAGGCTGGGGACACAGAAATCTAGTCTCTCTGTAGATGCGCCCCTTATCAGAGGGAGGGGTCTTTCTATGCATGCTGACTCATTGTTCTTGTTTTAGTACACAGGATGCCACAAGGCAAACACCACTCAGCCACAGTGGAAGTGTCTAGATAAACTGAGATCAACACTGAACTTATCATACGCAGAGCAGGGCCAATGATATGGCATGATTAGAGGAACCTATGGAAAGAGTACCAAACTGGAACTCTAATAAACCTATTCCAGTATCTAAAATTTCTGCCATCAGAGCTCAGTAAGTTCGGACACATCCAAATACACATCTCAGAGTCAGAGTATATCTCAGGAGAGTGGCTGATGTAGCTTGGCACAGTCACTCAAGGCCTGCTCCACAAGGGATAGGCTGAGCCCTAGAGCCCATGGCTAGGGGGGACACAGACCAGTCAGCCTGTGTACTGCTCCAGTGAGGGCAGCCAGGGAGTGCAGAGCACAGGGTCTACGGGGAGGACCAGTCCAAGCTCAGGCAAGTTTGAAGCAATCATCAGCTTTGGGACAGCCACTCCAACAGGCTCAAGAGTTGAGGCATCTGATGCTAACGCAGGACAGTGAGCTTTGCTCCCAGAGCTGTCTGTGCTTCACTCTTGCCAGTGGCTAAGAATACATAAAGCAGGAATCAAACCAAGGGAGGAAAGAGAAACAAACAAAAAAACCCCTAAGCCCAAAGGAAGACTGGGGTACAAGGCCGCGTTACCAGGTAGATTGCCAAATGAGAACCATGGCACTGACCCAGTCCCACAGCCAGGGCCAACAAGGTGGAACAGGGAGTCCTGTGGCCCAGGACTCATTCCCACCATGCCTCAGGCTAAGTCTCACCTCTTTCCAGATTCAGATTAGCTCCAGCACTGGACGGAATTCATGGGGGCAGACAGGGCCCCCGACCCTGGGAAACCAGGCAGGCAGGCAGGCAGGCTGCCCTCACCCAGATACACCCGTCCTCAACTCCGAATGACCTGACAGGAGCCCAGAGAAGATTTCCAGCTGATCTAATGTCTAGTATGTGACCTTGGCCAGAAAGAGACACACTGTGGAGTGTTCCTTCCACGGTGCCAAAGTGGATTAAGTCATTTTATCGCCAGAATTACTCTTTTAAAAGGTAAGAGTTCCTACAGGGTGAGAAGAACACAAAACCAATTATCCATTAATATCTTATACGTTTTCTTTCAACAGAAATTGGGAGACCAGTCACCAAGGCAGATTCTGAGAGAATCAAAAGGTTTAGGGTGTTTTTGTATTTTGGGATTTGACGGGGGTGGAGTTTAGAAGAGTAGAGAAGAACAAGACACAACTCGATTCTTCTCTAAAAAATTACATCCAGCACATAAATAAAAAGCAACTAAGATCAATCACCAAAATAAAGTCTCTGAGGCAGCTCAAAATATACAAGTGAAACAAAAAATTAAACAAATAGAAGGGAAACCAAAAATCTCTGAGAAGACCAAAACTTTAATAAAAGAAAATCAGTTCATTCTTGGAGAAGGATCAACCTCTTGGCTAAAGAGGAGACCATTCCTTCCCATTTGTTCTCAAGGCCTCCCAAGAGAAGACCACCAAATCCATGCAAATTAATTAATAAATATGACCAAAATAAATAAAAGGTAAGCAGAGGTTAATATATATAAGCACCATATTTTCTTGCAGTACAGTTCCTCAAAACTCAAAGATACCTTTACGAAAGTTTAAGTGGACTATTTTAAAGCTTACTAAAATTACTCTATTACAATGTCACGGTCCTAGGAAACAGGCTCTGGATTTATTTGCTTTTATAAGGGAACATTAAATTAGAAGGCATTTCAACTCTGATACTATTCTCAGGATTAAAAAAAACAACTCCTAGGTTTCGAATTCATTAAATCCCAATTTAATGTTAGAGTTAAAATATCATCATCAAATTAATTACTTGAAGCCTTTAAAAATATTTTAAGGTCTCTAACAAGAAAAGGCTGTTAACTACCAACTTTTTCATTTCTTCCATCCTTTCTCTCCAGCACACATCAAAAACATCTACATATATAAACCACTAGAATTTATGGTATACTGGATTTTCAATAACATTTAGATTTTAAAGATGATTCTTATGAGACAGAAAACTGTGTAGTAAGGAAGTGAATAAATCCCAAATTCAGAGTTTATCCATGAGTGGGGCTGGGAATGCAACAGGAGTGGGGAGGGACACCCAGATATTCCCAAAGGTAATTATAATATTATTGTTCTTAAACTGGGTGACGGAGAGATGGGTGTTTGCTGTACCATTATTCTCCATGCCTTATATTTTGTAACATTATTTAAAATAGTCAATATTTAATAGAAACAAGTATTTTTTAAATGAGTTTATGTCATTGTCATTGTGTAAGGTATATAGAGACACAGGTAAATCAAACCCCCACTTCAGAATGTTTTCTTTAGTGTCAGTATTGCTCCATAAAAAAATGAAACAATTAAGAGTACCATAATTTGTTCCAGAGCCAACCTTCTACAGAATTAACAAATCTTAAAAAACACTTATTTTCCTAAACTCCTACATACACATGCTCAATTTTTTCCCGCCATATATTGCTTCATTCTGCTTTGCTTCTATAAAAAACTATTTTTTGGGATACAATGCACACTAACTAACTTAAGGGCACACTTATAACTTTGACTCAAATTGTACAAAAGCAAATTATGTAACCAAAACATATGTACCCCTGTAAAATTCTGAAATTAAAAAAAAAAACTATTTTTCCCATGGCTTCTCTGTAACTTTTATAATTTAATGAAAACATTGTAATTCTTTTCTGTTCTCTGAATGAATCTGAAGAAATGAAAATGGGGTTACACCTCTGAGTGATATACAACATTACTACAGACGTCACCCAAAATGATCATAAAATTAAATATTTTGATAGCGAAAGGCTTTCGATTTGCCCATTTTGTTGTTTCCAACTATATGTTACCAGGAGGAACCTCTAAGTCAAATGTCAGGAAAACACCAATAATTCTTTAACATTTCCCCAATTCTCTGTTATCTATTCTGCTTTTCATAAAGTGGTAGAAATATCTTTGACATGCTTTGTTGAGACATGTGGAGTATTTAATTTTGTAAGGACAATTAAAGCTGAGAATTCTAGCTATCCTCAAAGCCAGCTATTTTCAATATTTCGAAAAGCCTGAAACATACATTTACCTGTAATTTGGTCATGCTAAAAGTGAAAATATTTTCCTTTTTCTACTGGGATTTTACCAGGCCTTCCTGTGTTAACTGGCTATCTCATGTTGACCAGATATTCAGACATATGTCATTAATAAAAACAGAAGAATTAATCATGATTACTTAATACATGTGGTCTGAAAAACCAATCAAAATATGAGGTCCCTGGAGCAAAAATAACAAAAGTGGTCTTTACTATTGGTATATATGTGTATATATATATATTATTTTTTATTTATTTAATTTCAGAACCAGTGACACTGTTATTTAAAAAGCAGCAACCACAGAGTTCTGGGCCCACTGACTTGGAGTAGTTCTATCACTGCTGTCAGAAACCCCAGAGAACGTTGATTCCCTAACTCAGTTAAACATTTGCAGGTCAACTCTCAATTATCTTTCTTTCTTTTTCTTTCTTTTTTTTCTTTTCTTTTTTTTTTTTTGCCAGTTCAGTTCTCTGTTCCTCAATCTTTGCAAAATGTAGAAGTCATGGGAGGTGTTAAAAGGGAACAAGTGTTTCCTATCACATCTTCTTCCTGCTACAAGCTAGGCTAGTAGCACCAGAACTGTTTCTCTCTTCTGTTTCCAGTTCTCCTTAAAATCAAAATGAGACCCTCCCCTGAACTACTGCCCTTATAAAATTAAATACTCCAGGTGTCTGAACAAAGCCAAACTAAAAGGGACACTTTAAACCAATAACCTTTAAAAACAAACTAAGTCAGCCTTCAAAATAATCCCCTTTGGCCACGTAGGACAGCCCAGGGACAGGTGCAGGGCATGCCTTCCTAGAGGCTGTCTGCTCCTCTGTGAATCTGACCTTTTCCAGCTGGTAGCTCTGGCTCCTCACAAATCAGTTGTCAGTAGGCTGAATGCCTGCTTTCCCATCTGCACTTTCCAAATGGCTCATGATGCCAAGGGCTGAGATATGACCTGGCTCTATGATGAGAACATGCCTCCCAAGTGACACGCCAAGTTTCCCTGGAAGCATTGCTAAATGTATTCTCTGAGCTTCCTCCTCAACTTCCCAGTCATGGTTCATTCTTCCTTCCTTCCTTCCACTTCCTAATGCCACCTCCTCATCCTGTTCCTCCAACACCACACCCCTTCAGTCCAAACTCCTTACCTGCTTTCATCAACCACTAACCCCTGCCCTGTCGTAAATACCAACTTCAAATCCAAAGGGCATAGTTCCAACATTCTAGAACTGGTTTGAAATGATCTTTTTAAGGCCTACCTGCAGGCAGCTCAGTTATGGCTTTTTCCCTTGCCTTCTCCAGCTTCTCCCTTACCCAGGGAAATTCCTGGAGGGAATCTAGGAATGCGTTGAATGCTTTGGGACCCCTGGAAGGTAGGATATCCAGTAGCAACATTGTTTTCCGGAGGCCTGTGGCTTGAGCTTGGATTTCTTGAACGTGGTTTTCTGTCAAGATTCCTTCTTGGTAAAGGTACTGAAGAACCAGTCCCTCTACCAAAACCTCTGCACCCAGCTCCAGGCGAAGTGAGCGAAGCACTTGTCTGTCTCTGGAGTCCATTTCTCCCTGGAAAGAGACACAATCACAGCTCTGATTACAAGAATGTTGACATGACCCTAAAGATAGTTTCACTGCAATGTAAGCTCCTTAAGGTCAGGCACATCTGCAAACCTTAGCAGACTGCCAGGCCACAGTGTTTAATACATGGTTGTTAAGCCAAGCCAAGTGCATCTCGAATGTTTCTGAACGTAATGAACAACACTGAAGATGAATCATCTTTTCTGCTTTTGCTTTTCACACACTGGAGTCCTACCTCAACTCCTTGTTCAATAAAAAGATGGGGCGGGGGCATGGGAAGAGCAGGTCAGAGACCCTGCTTCAAAAGTATTTTTTTTAATTTGAGGATTACAGAACAGCATTAATTTTATTTTAACATGTTGCAGAAGAAACACTGGTTTTATTTCAACACTGTCTTCATCAGCGCTACCCCACTCCCACGACTGCAGAAACTGCTAAAGGTTTTGACCATGGCCATTTGCAGAACCTGATCAGCAACAGGAATGGGGGGGCAGAAACCAGCAGGTATGTGTTTAAAGATCTTTTTCACCAAGAAAAAACTATCACCCTCAAGAAAAATCTTAAGTGTTTGTACCTAGTCTACAATAAATAAGCCTTATACAATATGTAAGGTTTATTTTATACAAATAATATTCTTCCCACCAAGAATTCGGAATCTCCATCATAACACCGCCGTGGCCACGCATGCATAGGACATTTAATGGGACTTTTTTTCTCTCAAAAAAAAAAAAAAATACCCTCACACCCCAGCACAGGTCAGTAGCACGATTTGAAAGCTCAGTTCCACGACCACTGCACCAGTGAGCAGTTGTGTGTAGGCAATGAAGGTTAAGTGGCAGGGAAAGGGATAGGGGTGGCAGATGGGGCTTCAGACACCCACGGGCATTACGACCACGGCTGAGCGACACCCGATCCTCCCCTTGCAGCCCTCCCTAAGGTTCGGGAGGTGGCAGGTGAGGAGGAAGGAGTCCGCATTTGGCTATGAGCGCCCATTTGGAACTTTTTAAAAGTCCCCTGCCCCAGCAACTGAAACCCGCGTGCATCACAAACAGGAAGGACTACGGGAGATTTCTGGGGCAACTTGACTGGCTAAAGAGTGGGTGCTGGGAATGATCTTCAGAGCGGACCGAACGGAGAGCGGGCCGCCGTCACCACCACAGCCACCCCGTCCCCAGCCGGGCTCGGAATGCCGCAAGTTGGGGGGCGGGGAAACCACACAGGGCCCAGGTTGCAGACTCTACTGAGCGGGACTTTCGAGAAAAGATGGATTCCTGTTACTTACGTCTGCAACCACGTATCTTTGGGAGGGAGGGAAAAACTGCAACCGGAATCCAGACTGTTAGGGAACCTGTACCATAAGCACCATCTTTGTTGAAGGCGAAAGCCCCAAACAGGAAGTGGTGTCGCCATCTTTGTTGAGGGCAAGCGCAGGAAGTGCTGTAGCTACTTTATTGGGTGTCCAAGGGTCAGCTTGAAGCTTTTTCCGCCATGTTTGCTGTGGGTAAACAATTCAACCGGGATTATTTTAGCAAAGGAGTAATTGGTTTTTAAAAAGATAGACAAATGGCCAACGAACATATGAAGAAATGCTCAACATCGCTAATTTTTAGAGAAATTTAAATTAAAACCAAATAAGATATCACCTTAACTCCAACTGCTTGTCTGGGCTTTAAAAAATAAAATTAAAACAAATTTAAATTTTAAAAAAAAGACACCACCTTACCCCTGTCATAATGGCCATTATTAAAAAATCAAAAAACAATAGATATTGGCTTGCATGCAGAAAGAAAGGAATGCTTATACACTGTTGGAGGGAGTGCTACAAATTAGTACAACCTCTGTAGAAAACAGTCTGGAGATTGCTCAAAGAAATAAAAGTATCTTAAAATTTGACTCAGCAATCCCACTACTAGGTAGGAAGGAAATGAAGTCATTTTATCAAAAAGATACTCACACTTGAATGTTTATTGCAGCATAATTCACAATTGCAAAGACTTTGAATCAAACTAAGTGCTCATCGATTTATGAGTGGTTGAAAAAATGTGGGGTGTGTGTGTGTGTGTGTGTGTATTTACATATATATGAAGGGTTGAAAAGAGAAGGGTTGAAAATCCAAGGATGACTCCCTAGACAACATTGGCTCCTGGCGACAATCAGGAAGATAGAGTCTTCCTGGAAGCCACCATTCCACATGGCCAACCTTCTCCTTACACCATCAGAGCAATTAACTGGACAGTAGAACACTGCTTCAGAAAAGCCTTAGTCTCCACAGCTGCATTTGCCAACAGCACCTGCAAATCTTACTTTGCTGCATGCAATTGGTGAGACCAATTTTGTAGGCAGAACATTAGTAGCATGATGTCTGGGGCATGTAGTTTATAGTTGTTCAGCTTCTGAAACACAGAAAGGTATACTAAAAATAAGGAAGGGCTGATACTAAAGACCAGTCCACTATACCAACCACATTATCAATTTGGAAAGCAAGACAAAATGCATGAACCAAATATAGAGACACAAGAATGTCAAATTGAATGTCCTTCCTCAAATTCCTTTGTGAAATGAGGCAGCTGAACAGTAAATACATTCATTGATTCATTTTTAAGTCAATTGGATGCTATATACAGAAAGTCATAAGCCTGCTAAAAACTGGTTGACAGTACAGAAAAAAACTCTTCAAATATCATTATCAAATATCAAATATCTACAAAGGTTTTCACAACCAGCATCTCTGGGGGGAAGATGAAAATATATTTGTAAGCAAATCAGTGGAGAGCAATTCTAAACTTCCTCCTAAAAACTTAACAATTTTATCCAGTTTATAGTCTTAACTATGCCATTATACCATTTAATTACTCCATTAGTGACAGTGTTTTTACATATGCAGCAAGTATTGTCATTACAGTCATGCACTGCCTGATGGCATTTCAGTCAACAACGGACTGCATATGTGACTACAGTGGTCAGAACAATAGGCTACACCATACAGCCTAGGTGTGTAGCAGGCTATACCATCTAGGTTTGTGTAGGCACACTCTGTTTTGTTCATACTACGATGCATTTCTCAGAATGTATCCCCTTCTTTAAGCAAAGCATGAATGTGTTGGCATTTTGCACGTGTAAAGACTGTAGAATCAGAGTGGCCAATTGTGTTAGCCAAAATCTCACAGCTAATGGAGACCAAAACCAGAATTCTGAGCAGGCTGTTCTCATTTCATGCCCTTTCCAGAGCACCCACACCACACCATCCTATCTAGGGAGAGTCTATTGTTCCAATGACAGCTAAACAGTACTGGCAAATCATCCTGATGCCACTTCCCACTTTTTAGTTCCAGAAACTGTCTTTACTCCCTCTCTCTTCCTCTTTTGCTCTACAATTTTTGTCCTTTTCTCTGTGAGGTTCCCGTTTGTGTGGACAAGTGCTAGCAACATTCTCTATCTTCATCCAAATAAAGTGCAGACCTCTTGCAACTCTGCCAATAGTGGAGGATTATAGGTTGAGCATCCCTAATTTAAAATGTTCAAATTAAAAATACTCTGGAATCCAAAATTTTTTGTGGGAAATTCCACACCTGATGTCACATGATGGGTCACAGTCAAAACACAAACCTTTGTTTCATGCACAAAATTATTTAACATATCATAATAAATTATCTTCAGGCTATGTGCATAAGGTGTATATGAAGCATAAATGAAGTTCTTGTTTAGATATGGGTCTCATCCCTAAGATATTTCATTATGTATACGCAAATATTCCAAAAATCCAAAAACATCCATAATCTGAAACACTCTGGTCCCAAGCATTTTGGATAGGGATATCCAATCTATACTAACTTTTTAGAGAGGAAAAATCAGTGTATTTTTTCCAGTGTAAACTTTGATAATTTTCAAACATATAGAAAACTTGAAACAAATAGCACAATGAACACCCATACAAAATCGAACATTTCTTGATAAAATTTGAAAAGGCTTGAGATCTCCTGAGAACTGGAAGGTAAGCCTTGCCAATGATGTCCAGGAGGAGGTGGAGAGTCAACAGTAAGATCTATGAGGGTCACAGACGAGAAGAAAAGAAGGCAAGAGATGACATGAAGAGAGTTAGTGCAGTCAGTGAGGGGCGAGACATCCTATGGCAAACAACTTGAGGGGCTAGCCATTAAGGATCTGACTTAAATCCATAAAATGAAGCTCTTGCCCATCTAATTCCTCTTCCTGTGGCAAATGTAGATTAGGGTCCATGCTGCCTCCTAAGCACACAGGCTGGCCCTGATTGACCAGCCAAATGCCATCAACCAGCCTATTCCAGGACTACCACCCCACCGTAGCATACAGCTTTCTCATCAGCACACCAAAGGTTCAGTTGAACTTATATAAATATCTGAGGCCAGAGAGCCTTTAAGGAACCAAACACAGATCAGACTCACTCTCACAGGTGGTTACTCCTCCACTCTGGCCAGTTCCTCTCCGTAGGCTGGAATTGTGCCCCCATACAGGATTAAGCACCTGTTACCCAGTGGTAACAAATCCAATTTCAAAAAAGACAAATATTTTCCTTTTTCTCTCTCCCGTAGCATGCTTACTTGGATCAAGATATACCCCATGTGAGTTTTCAAAGGAAAGAGTCAAAAAGAACAAGTGTAGTATTTTTCTGGCTTTCAATTGGTCTTTGGTTTTGCAACCTTCAAAAAATAAATCAAAGGAGTTGGGTATTTTGGGTTCTTCCTGTTTCATTGATGTGAAAATTAAGTCATGGAGAAAACAGATTCTTTTCAACCATACTTGAAACATTTACAGAAACAGATCATGAATTAAGTCACAAAGAAACTTCAGTAAATTCCAAGGAATCAATAGCATACAAACTATGTCTTCTATCATGATAAAATTAGAAATTTTAACAAAAGGATAGCTTTCATAAATCCTGTAAGTTTGGAAATAAAACAATTCTTAAAACTTTGAGTTAAAAAAAAAGAAAAGCACACACATCTAACTAATAAAGTATAAAAAGAAAGAAAAAATACTTTATAGTAGAGAAACCTGGCAGACATCACCTTAACCAAGCAATCAAGGGTAAACGTCACCACTAATAAGTCATGGAGATATCAGGTGCTCCAATATGATATGACAAGAAGGGCATATCACCTTCATGATATCATTCCCCAAAATTCATAACCTTAGTCTTTTCATAAGGAAACAGCAAACAGACTCAAATGGGGAGACATTCTATAAATTATCTGACAAGTACTCTTTAAAAGTGTCAAGGTCATAAAAGACAAGGAAAGACTGAGAAACTGTCACAGATTGGAAGAGACTAAGGAGATGTGACAATTTGAGGAAAGGAAGGAGCAAGAGAGGGAGGATGGGAGGAAGACAGAAGGAGAAAAGGAAGGCTAAGAAGGACTTTCCCATAATTAGGGAGAAATGAAAACTTCTGGGCCTAAATTCCCATTCTCCATTTCATATTAGCTATTTTCTTGACATATGCCATAGTATTCCATGTGATCCCCATTCCCCATACCGTCCTCAAGAAGATAATGTCAGAATTTGTCAAAAGATATATAGATATCTATCCTTGTAACTGTAAATCCTAAAACAAAAAACAAACAAATAAAACCCTTGGAATATACAAGTGTCTCCTCTTTCTCTGTAACTTTTAGTAAAGTATTGTGCTGTAGATAATATTATGTGCATCATCTGCCCTAATCAATTATTATTTTACTAAGTTAGGAATTGTAATGATTCCTTTAATTATCTGCTATCTCATTTTATCTTAGCTTAATTATTGCTTATTATAAAAATCCTGATACTATTTACAAAAACCTAAGTTGCAGATCTTTTAAAAGAGCCAAATACATTAGTATGCAAATTATCACATACTAATTTAATATTCAAACAATTCTAGAAGTCTGAAATATTATGCTATAGGACTTTAGTGAATGATAAATACTAGGATTATAATTACTCATAATTGACAGCAACAAGTTTTTAATTAAGCATTGATTACATGCTAGGTTAGCTGGGCATAACCCTCCTGAAAGAAAGATATAGTGTCTGTCTTCATGGAGCTTGGAGTTCAATGGAGAAGATAAACATAAACAGGGAAACAAATGAACAGTAATAGTTACAAATTGTTAAAAGTCCAATAAAGGAAAAGTTCTTTGATCAAAAAAGTGGTCAGGGGCCTGGGAGAGAAGAGCTGATTTTGATCAAGTTTTGGAGAAAGCCTCTCTGAGCAGGTGATCTCTCCTATTTTTCTTCAAAAAGACTGATAGTAGTTATAAAACTGTACTGCACACATTTAAAAGATAGATTAAAGAAATTAAGAATTTAAGGTATTAGGACACCTAAAGATATTAGGACATGCTCAAATAAGCTCTTAGTTTCCTGGCATTCACAGTGAAACAAGAACCCACCCTTTGTGTTGTCTAGGTCTC